ATTCAGAACATTCACTTTTTTCTTTGAATTGAATGACCGATCGTAGAATTGAGTCCTCAAATTGGAGTTGTTCCCAGTCGTTACTCGCGTCAGCAATGCAAACTGTTCGACAAATACGTTTATAAAATTCTTCCTCTACGAAATTCCACTTGTCACATTTTAGAAATACAATTCCCTCAGGATTTTTGAATGAAAGGAGCCATTTCAATGCTGCGTGGTCTGTTCTAATGAGAAATTTCCTCCCGACTAGATAGTGATGGAAATTTTCGACTGACTTGAATACAGCTAACAGTTTGCGACGAGTGGTACAGTAGTTTCTTTCAGCTTTATTCAGACATTTACTAAAGTACGCGATGACTTTTCCTGACTGTTTTGGGTTTGGGACAAAGTGGCTCCAATGGCTAGCGAAGAGGCATCAGTGTCAAGAATAAAATCCCCATCTACAATTGGTACTGAAAGAATTGGAGGATTTGTCAAGAGAGATTTCAGGTGATCGAAACTCTTCTGAGCTTTCTCAGTCCATTCAAAAGTAATTTTATCTTCAGTGAGAGTATGAAGAGGTTTTGCGATATGAGCAAATTCTTTCATGTAATCTCTATAATAAGAGCATACTCCGAGGAAGCTTCTGACTTCGGTCTTTGTCAGAGGGATTGGCCATGACAGGATGGAAGAAATCTTTTCCGGAGAGCATTTGATTCCTTTTGCCGAGACTAAATGACCCAAGAACAAAAGCTCATGTTTGAAGAAAATACACTTCTTTGTGTTAACTTTGAGGTTAGCCGTAGACAAGCGCGAGAACACTAACTCAAGGTTTTGGAGATGTTCCTCGAAGTTTCTACCGAACACAATGATGTCATCAACGAAAACACGACATATTTGTCCTATCAAGCCTGATAGAACCTCATTCATGATTCGAATAAATGTTGCCGGGGCATTACATAGTCCGAAAGGGAGAATATTAAATTCCCATAACTCATCTCCAATTGCAAAAGCTGTTTTTTCCTTATCCTTAGGTTCCAATTCAATTTGCCAATAGCCTGATTTTAAGTCGATTGTTGAGAACCAAGTGGAGTTAGAACTAGAATCGAAAATGTCCTCTTTCCTTGGCATTGGCATTGAGTCTTTTTTAGTTTCTTTATTTAATCGTCGATAATCTACACAAAAACGAAGGGAGTCATCTTTTTTTCTTGCTAGGACGACTGGAAAGCACCAAGGACTCCGACTCCGTTGAATGACTGCCTCATCCTTCATTTTCGATAATAGCTCAAGAGCTTCATTTAGATAGTGAAAGGGGATGCGTCGAGGGTTTTGTTTGATTGGAAGACAATTTTCTACAATGATTTGATGTTTTGCTCCTTTGTATCGACCTAAATCACTAGAATTTTTAGAAAAACTATTTTGGAATTTTGATAAAAATAGTTTTAATTGGTCTTGTTCCTGTTGATTCAATAATTGACAAGAATACTCATAAAGTTTGATCAGATAATCCGGAATTTGGTTTGAAAATTTCTGACTAATTGATGGTAGTTCTCGAGAGATTGTTTGTTTAACAGAAACAATCTTATTGTCATTGTTGATGTTGAATTTATGATTGACGATTGAGTGGAAATCTCTTAATAATCCTGATTTATAGAGGAAGTCTAATCCCAAAATGCACTGATCAGTGATGTTAGCGAAAACGACATCTAAATTCAGAGAAATGTTACCGATAGGAATGATGACTTGTTTGGTAGCGATATGAGGAAATTCCTCACCTGAAACAGTTAAGATAGTCCNCCATCTACAATTAGTACTGAAAGAATTGGAGGATTTGTCAAAAGAGATTTCAGGTGATCGAAACTCTTCTGAGCTTTCTCAGTTCATTCAAAAGTAATTTTATCTTCAGTGAGAGTATGAAGAGGTTTTGCGATATGAGCAAATTCTTTTATGTAATCTCTATAATAAGAGCATACTCCGAGGAAGCTTCTGACTTCGGTCTTTGTCAGAGGGATTGGCCATGACAGGATGGAAGAAATCTTTTCCGGAGAGCATTTGATTCCTTTTGCCGAGACTAAATGACCCAAGAACAAAAGCTCATGTNTAGGTCTGATGACGTTCTTCAACTCATTCAAATCGTGATGGAAAACTTTTGGATTCACGAGAGTAATGTCTGCAGCTGTATCGATAATCATGAAGCAAGGAATTTTATTGACATTTCCATGAATTTTCAAACCGAAAATCAATTTTTCCTTGTTCAGCANTACTCCGAGGAAGCTTCTGACTTCGGTCTTTGTCAGAGGGATTGGCCATGACAGGATGGAAGAAATCTTTTCCGGAGAGCATTTGATTCCTTTTGCCGAGACTAAATGACCCAAGAACAAAAGCTCATGTTTGAAGAAAATACACTTCTTTGTGTTAACTTTGAGGTTAGCCGTAGACAAGCGCGAGAACACTAACTCAAGGTTTNTTTGCTGAGCATCCTGATGGTTATTATTTCCTGATGAGTAACATTTATTGGCATAATGACCAAATTTTCCACATTTAAAGCATGAAATTTTATCATGATTATTTGAAAGTTTCCTCTGTGTATTTTGATTTGTCATAGATTGATTCATTCTAGAATGATTGAGAGACGATGNTTTTAAGTCGATTGTTGAGAACCAAGTGGAGTTAGAACTAGAATCGAAAATGTCCTCTTTCCTTGGCATTGGCATTGAGTCTTTTTTAGTTTCTTTATTTAATCGTCGATAATCTACACAAAAACGAAGGGAGTCATCTTTTTTTCNAATCTTCATCTTTTTGTTGTTTACGAGCTTGGAGTTCATTAAAATACATCCTTGATAGATATTTCTCATCAAAACGATCATTCAAAATTGTCGTAATTTTTTCATAATCTTTTAATTCATCGCCTTTCAATTTTTCTAAAACCAACTGAGCTTTACCGCGAAGTCGAGTGAGTAATTGAGCTGTTTGCTCGACTCTCGACCAATTATTATGACCAGCGGCGATTTGAAAATGAGTGTGATACCGTGACCATGGTTGTGTTCCATCATAGGTGTCAGGTTTGATAAAATTATTTTTGACCGAAAGCTGTGACGAAGATGTTTGTGTCGGTGTTGAATAATTCTCCTGATTGAAGTTAGAAGTGAGGTTAGATGTGTGATTGAAAGTGTTGGTGGTGTTAGAGGGAGGAAAAATAGGGTTATCTGAGTGTTGATTGGAGAGTGTCGACGGTCCAGTTGGATGAGCTTATTGAGAATGGGTCCCTGCATTTGTTGTCTGGTCATGCACCTCAGCGATCACCTCAATAAAATCAGGATGTAAGTTGTTGAGGATGGGGGGTGGAGCTCTGGATCTGTTGTGTTGTTCTTCTCTGGCGATGCGTCGATGTTCTTGGAGATCATGTTGAATTGTCTCACGGATACTGCGGATGATCTCGATCCTATCCGCCTGTAGTTCTCGTCGGAACTCTTCTCGAAGATTCCCCCTTACTTCATTTGTAATCTCAGCCCTCAAACCATCTTGGGAATTGTCACGCCGGTGTTGACGTTGGTCGCTTGGTACTGTGTGTGGACGAAACCCGGTAGCGAGCAGACCAGAGCGGAGATTTGCTGGTTCGGGGGAGATTTCTCTCCTCCACCCCCTCCGTAGAGACATTTTTCCAGTTGGTCCCACTATTTTCCTCTCAGGTCAATGGTACTCCAATCGTTGGAAAATGTTCAGTTGTAGTTGTTGGGTTCTATATTTCTACCACTTCTGACACCAATGTTAGTTTAGTAAAGGAATAAACTCACAAGACCACAAATTAAGGACAGGGAGTGGTTTTATTGTCCAGAGTTATAATCTGTCAGATTGAGATCCAGAGAATAATTGAAGACCATTCTTCTTCAGATGACAGTCGTTTTGAGAATAACAGTTAACCTCTCATTTATGGAATACCAAACTTAAGAAGAGCGGGATACGTAACAATGTATTGAATAGCGGATTGATAAGAGAGCGATGTACAATGGGTGAACATGACAAATATGAGAATGAGGTAAAATCGGATGGTGAGGTAGAATGGTACAGCCTGGCAAATTGGACGATGGGCGAATTTGAGCCAGGAGTGAAATAGGACAACAGGGTAACTTGGCCGGTGGACTAACCGAATGTGAGGTAAATGGGATAGTGGGGTAAAATGGGAAATACTCATTCCGGAGAATTCTTGCACAACCGTAGGATCTCAGTTTTGTAGTACACGGGGCACTGCTAGTGAAAAGTTAGGAAAGAGTTACGCATTAGGTATTTTTAAAAGTCGAGTTGAATATTTTTGGTATATCCATTGAATTTGGATCAATTCATGATGGTCCTTCAAGAGAAAAAAAATTATGTCATTAGGCCCGATAAACCGCGATTCTAACCTCGCTTCGCTTGGTTAGATCGCGGTTTTCGGACCTAACGACATAAAATAGCGTATATCACACGGCGATAAAAGCACTATCTGGCAAATGTGATTATAATCCTCGCTTTCGGCTCGGATTATAAAACCACATTCGCCAGATAATACTTTTATCGCCTAATGACATAATATACTAATAATTACATTGAAAAAAAAAAAAAAAAAAAATTAATGTGTCATTTTCGTCCAGCGAACACAATGATGTGGACGTCGGTTGAACGTTATACGTTCTTCTAGAATATAGCAAGAAAAGTTGCGCAGAAAATATATGGCCGTTGGACTGACTTTGAAAATATCCTAATACAATCCATGATGACATATTACTGACGTTCATCAAGCATCTAGCGTCCGTCCAAAAATGCAACATGCGGACGCCCTTATGACGTCCATTTAACGCATCCATATTGTTGTCATATTCTTGTTAGATCAATTCGAATCCGTGATACAAAATTGAATTGAACATTTCGGTATTTATTCTTGATCATTTTTACAGTAACAATTAATGATTTTTCCAAATATAAAAATAGGATATCTCTTATTGTGGTCAACAGCTCATACAATATTAGCTGCATCTTTTTTTCAGGATCCGGTACCGAATGTTCCATGGACAGGAATAAGAGATGCTACAGAATTCGGTGAAGTATGTTGTCAATATGATTCGGGTACAGGCAGATGTATTGGCAGTGAAGATTGTCTTTACCTGAATGTGTATATGCCAAATTTGGATTTATCAAATTTGAAAGCCGTGATGATTTGGATACACGGAGGGGCATTCAAAAATGGATCTGGAAATGACGATGTTTATGGTGTCGATTATCTCATCAAATCAGATGTCGTTATTGTCACTTTAAATTATCGTCTGGGTTGCCTAGGTACGTGGAAAATAATGTTCTAGTTGTACATGTTTGAGCAGATGTATTAATTCTGTATATGAAATCGAAACTAAGAGCTTCCCTTAATTAAAAGCAAGTATCATTCATGAAAATAAAAATTATTACTAATAGTTCTCAAATTTTGAGGTCAACTAAAAAATGACAGTGTTATTGATAAGCGAAAGAATGGGCCAACAGGAATTCAAATGAGGATCATCTACAGAAATAGTCTCATATTTCAGAACCAAAAATATACAAAGTTGACACTTTTCCTGCGAACGCGGACATATGATTGTGTAAATATTTATATCTATCCGACTATTATAATTGGAATAATTTCAGGTTTTTTACATTTGGGAGACAAAGCTGCATCCGGGAATCAAGGATTAAAAGACCAAGTAATTGCCCTAAAGTGGGTAAAACGAAATATTTCACGATTTGGCGGTGATCCGAACAATATAACAATGTTCGGTCAAAGTGCTGGGAGTGTTTGTATACATTATTTGGCTTTGTCTCCGATGGCGCGTGGTAATTTTTGTTCATTCCTACATACTAGCTGAATCACATCTTGGTTTCGATTGTTGATTCAATGGATTACATCCACAGGACTATTCCAAAAAGCAATTCTTCAAAGTGGATTGATATCAACTATAGCTAGAGCAACAAGTCTCGTGCAAGTAGGTAATAGACTCGCGAGTATTTTAGGAGTTAGTATAGCAAATCCGAAGGCTCTCGTAGAGTATTTGCGAACAGTCAAAGTGGACAAATTGATCGAAGCTCAAGAGGAACTTGTAACTCCAGAAGTAAGTACAACAATATGATGGTTATCGGTGATTAGAGAGTTGGTAACGTTCAGTATTCCAGGAACATGCAGCCCTGGTATTATCTTTTATTCCGGGACCCGATGGAGTTTCTGATAATCCATTTTTTCCCGAGACTGAATCAGATGCTATGAAGCTAAAAATTTCTATTCCTTGCATCCTCGGCTACGTCAACGAGGAGTTTTCAGCCAAGCAAGGTATAAAGTTTCCTTTCTATTTAGTACCAGTTCCACGTTATACAACAAGTTTTCAGAGCTCACTAAGATTAATTTGTCATCGATTAATGATTTGTATATGTTTAAAGATTTATGCACAGCAGCCTCCGGCATTTCAAAATCATTGTTTCCAGTAATAATTCAGGATTATTACAATGATAGGAATCTTCCCATCCATAAAATCGTCAAGCACTATATGGGTGAGGATGTGGATGATGAGAGAATCATTCCAAAATTCGTTCACCTTGCTACTGATGCAGTTTTTCTTTCTTCTATGCACGCGATGTTTGAGACCCAGAGGAAAATTTCTGATGCGCAGATGTTCTATTATAAGTTTTCTTTTGAGAGCAGGAAAACATTGATGAAAATGAAGTTTACTTTTCCTGGTATGGCATAATTAATAGTCAGTCGAATCAAACATGAATGATTCTGTTTATACAGGTACGGGTCATGGTGACGATCTGAGCTTCCTCTTTTATCATAAACTAATGGGTAAATTGGGACGAAAACCTCTTTGTTTAGACGCCATTCACAATCGCATTATTCAAAGATTTGTCGACATGTGGACGAACTTTGCTAAAACAGGGTATTTCACAGTATACTCTCTTGATGGTAGCATGCAAGATAATTCTAGTGGTTTGAAAATATTTCATATGTTTAAGGAATCCAACGCCGAAAATAACGAAACTGATACCGGTTATCTGGGAGCCCATTGATAAGACGAAATTCCATGAATACAAATATTTGAAAATTACTGATGCGCTTACGATGGAGTCAGAGGAGAATCATTTCCAGAGCTTGATTCAGAATATTGAGAAGTCTAAGTAAGATTATTTCTCTCTCCAAGGTTTCCTTGAGAATAATACACCAAATAATAACAAAATCAAAATTTTCCGGCGAAAGAGTGGAGCTTTCGTAACGGCTAGTGAATGTTCGTGTGTGGAAATTTAATAGATAATTCTAGTGCTTTAGCTAGGAAATTCCTTCAGTTGTCCTTGAAAATTGTATTATAATTATAAAAAAAAAAATTCAACACCATTTCGAAAGTGTAATGAAATTTTGGCCTCCGCAGCCAAATGAACACTTTCGTCTGTTAAAAAATCATTGAAAAATAGTCGAATGATTGATTCATGCCTTGCACTCGTTTTGCGATGCGTCCATTATGGTAACGCTGCTAAGGGTTGCACAGAAAATTACGTTTCTACAGAAATTCACTGTTTCCTTTGAGTTAACTTATTTAAAAAATTGAACAATTTTGTTACGTACTCCACTTCAAATTGAAGAATAAACGAGGTTGGTTCCTCAATAGAATGGAACTACGTAAGTGCAAACTACTAAATATTGGCATAAAAACCCTAGTCAAGATCTACAGATCTGAACAATTGTAGTCCCGATCAATAGATCTTAGGTAAGACTGAAGATCCTGTTCGGCCACTAGTATTGAGAAAAGTTTAGAGAAAATTATTGTGTTGAATAAATATCGCGGGATTCGATTATATTACGAATGGGAATCAAGAGAAAATTCAGTGCGGTAATGAGAATATCCAGTATATCCGCTGAGGGTTTAACTAATGAAAAGTTACTTGATATTGCCACTGTGGAAATTGATCCAATATTCCTATTAGAAAGCTAATGAAGATGATTGAAGATCGTAGAAGCCACAAAGTCGGTAAGATTAATAGAATCAAACTAGATTTCAGTCAATAGCTTGTAATGTTGAACAAAATCACAATTTAATTTAGATAAATTGCTATCTTTGATCGGGATATTTTTTATTGAATTTATTACATTGCTCTTCAAAGACACAAGTATGTTAGGCAGGTTCTGGACCACGCATCTGTTGGACAAGGCGCTAGCATCGCGAAAAATAATAAGATCGATGACGTCATTGATGATGTATCGTTGACCTATGACATCATCATGATGTCATCCTGATGACTCATTGGTGATTCATTGAGTGAATCATTGGTGATCTACGAGGCCATCATGATAATAATGTAATCTTTAAAGACTCACTGATAACCGTTCAACTCGATTTAAGTATTAATTAATTATTTTACTTATACTGTAACTATAGTTAAGGGTAGATAAAGTAATAAAACGTTGATTTATTCATTTTTTCAACACAAAAATGTCTTTATTCATTGATTCATTTATTCATAATCTACATTATTATCATTCATTAATATTTAGATCGCTCTTGACCCATTGCCTGGTAACGTCCTATATCTACAGAACCACTATATTCTTGACTTCCTTTGATAGTCAACGGATTTTCTTGAACTTCATTGCTATTGTTTACTTTTGTATATAAAATTCGGTCATGGTCAGAAAATGATCAGAAACCAGTCATTTACATCTAACCCGACCTATAAGGAAAATGACGGTCACTCCACATTTCTATTCGTCATTGTGTGATATTAACAATGACCATATTTGTTCTTCGATTCATTTACTAATAATGGCAACACAAAAAGTGCATTCTAATATCTCAGCAGAGTTCGGGAGTAACCATTACTTTCGTAATATTTTCAGCTCTAATTACAATTACACTGTCAATTTTCTAATTGAGATTCTTAATTTTTTTGTTACTACATTGATCTGTAATTGAACTTGGAAATTGAGTGATAACCGAGTAATCGTCAATTGCAATGGAAAGAATTACCATTGATCATACGGTCCACCAAAATTGGACCACGGCTTCTGCCAGAAATTAAATTTGTACTGTAGATTTGATAGATTTTTGCACCCTGAATTCAACAGTGTTTGTAAAATTGCGCTAGCACGTCTGGTTTCGGAGAAAAAAAACTGTTAAAGTTGTGAAAAGTAGCGAAATGGACATATTACAAAAAAAAAACTTGACTCATTTTGTACTCAATAGGATAGAAAAATATACAGGAAGTTGAAAAAAGATTTGTTTATCTGAGGGAATGATTCTCCGGGGAATTCGTGATCCAATTGAGCTGGAAATAAATCATGAAATTACGAGATTTTCAGTATTTTCATGCAACGAGGGGAACTGGTCGAATGTTGGTTACATGTTTTTCTAACCTCGCCGAATTCAATCCTGTAGACACGTGGTTAATCTGGGTTTTCTTCAAAGCTTTCATAACATAGTCCTACAAAATTCGGCCACTTTTTGCACAGGATGAAACCAGATATAACTCTCGCAGGAAAAAGAATTCTGATTTCTCTCATCACGGATCGCCCAAACCTTTGGCAGAACGGTTTATGGAGGTACTGCAATGAAAATAAATCAATCTGGCGGGCGATTGGAGAGCATGTCAATCCTTCACTCCGGGGTAATATTTTCCCTCTGACCATAAAATTGATAACAATCGTTGCACGCAAATCATTCACTATCATGCATGTTGAAAAACTCACAAGGCTATCTGACATGGTTCATGTTCAAGTCGTTGAGGGTTGATCAACTTGAGGGGAGGCGCATGAATCTGTATGCTCAAATCTTTGGACACCAGTTCGTGTTTTTGGATGAAATCGGTGGAGATGATGATGACGAGACCTGCTCAATAATCTCCTCTGCACTATCCCTTTCACCAAGTCCACTAGTGGAAAATCCCCCAAGTCCGCCTATCGAGAACCCTCCAAGTCCAATTGAAATTTTTATCGTTGAACTAGAAGAAGATGATCATCTCTAACCTGCTTTGGAACCCTCGTAATTTTCTTTTGACTGATGGAATATTTATTACCAAAATTCAATTTCAGGAACTCCATAGAGATGAAAACGGACAAATTTATGAGTCGATAACAAGAGCATTCAATTCATTTAAATCAATGACAACAATAGTTCCCTTCATATACAAAATATTTACACCGAATAAACAGTATTGCACATTTCCCTTTATCTTCTTCGGTTTCGTCTCGTTCAAACGATTTATTAACAAGATTTCCGATGTTTTACGGTATGAGCATTGTAGATAGAAATACGAGAAAATTGTCGCTTGTTGACAGTGCCATCATCGCTGATTAAGCTCCAGCAGTATTCTTCCACCATACGGATCATCGACTTTACATGGTATCGCTTCTCAATCTTCGCGATATTCTGATGGACGCGTTCTCCGTGTTTGTTACTGACGTCAACGAGCTTATCTGGAAAGAAATCCAGATCAGAGTGTAGAAAATGAAATTTTAACGACATGTTACATTCTGTTTCATGGTAATTAGTCAGCATCTGACAGACGATTTTCCTGTACTCTGGTGAACGGTGACTCCTGAGAAATTCGGAAAGGACTCGTTTTAGTGAGTTTCACCTTCTCAGTTTGGTAGGTTTTAGATGTTTTGAAAAATCTTCATCATTCTTGAGCAATTTACACATCTGTGGGCCAACAAATACACCTTCTTTTATCTTTGCATCACTGAGTTTCGGAAATGGCGTCTTCAAGTAGCTAAATGCCGATCCTCCCTTTTCCAATTCTTTGACGAAGTGCTTGACTAGTCCAAGCTTGATATGCAGGGGTGGCAGACAGATGTTCTCAGGTTTAGCAATTGGGTCCCTGATAACGTTTTGCTTACCAAGAATTATCCTTTCGCGTGAAAGCCAATCAGAAATTTTGTAGTGGTTTTTGCGGTCTCGACTATCCCACCCACATAGGAAGCAGGGGTACTTTGTGTTTCCTGGTACTTTGTGTTTCCTAGTTGCATTCCAGAAATGAGTGCGACCATTTTGAGATCAGCACAGATCACCCAGTTATGGGAGGCATAATTAATTCTCTCGAGCGGGAATTTCACATTTTCGGAATTTTCTTTCAATGACGTAGAATAGGCGATAGGCACCGAAGGAAATATATTTCTCATATGAAGAAGCACGGCATTCAGACTGGTACATAAATCAATGAAGAGACGCCATTCCTCCATATGATGCTTGAATTCCAGACTCCGCATCAAACCGTGTATATCAGAGCAGTAACAAAGCTCTTCATCATCCCTGAAAGAGTGATGAAAAGTCTCGATCACGGAAATGACTGTTGCATACACCAGGCTGCAAGAAGTTACACTCTTTCATCCTTGAACCCCTTAGCTCCGCTATGCCTTCCGTAAGACCAAAACCTCTCACCCAATCATTAAATTGCTTCTGCAAAAGAGGACGTGGAGTTACGGGAGCTGTTACTTCTTTTGCTGCATACTCGGGGTCTTTTTCATTGCACTGCTCTATCTCATCAGCTTCAGGTTCGTCTCTTACTTTCACTGAATTGTCACTCTTAAATATTGGGATGGTCAGTGAGAATGATGGTAGGTCCATTAAGGAAACGTCTGGATACTTCAGCTATTTTTTATTGCCGGTGGAATATCTGTATGTGTTGGTGAGGCAGAAAAAACAGTCCGTAATGTGATCCTTTTGCCCTCTCCATATTACAGGGATGTTAACTTAAACTTCATCTGGTCTCGCTGAACTGATAGCTGCAGATTTGCACGACAAGAGCTGCAGCACGTAGTTGGGACTAGGGATGGTCGATGTTCGTCGATTAATCTAACACATCGATTTTTCATGCCCATACATCGACGTTTTTCATTCGATGTTTTCAAAGATCAATTAATCGATTTTCGATTTCTTCGTCCAAACATCGATGTTTTTTATCAAACTAAAATTTTTTTTATTTTTTTGTCGAACAATAATGTTGATTGAGTGAGAATAAAAAAATTATACTTTATTCGCGACCAGAAGCAATCATTTCTCCAGTATGCATGTTATAAACGGGAAGTGGACACGTTCAATCGGCTATTGTTTTGTTAAGTTATTTTTAAGTTAGTCTATATTGCTTTTTTAAGATAGTCCAGCCATGGAAAATATTGAATGTTTTTTTTCCAATTAATGAACAACCCTGTTTCGAGATTCAAAATTCCACTCTCCAACAGTACTTATCACTGAAACGCAAGTTCCTCAGATTGTATTTTTCACTACATAGTTTTAATAAAAACGCGATAGGAAAAATTATTAAAATAATTTTTTTTTCTGCTTGACGACAAAACAACGGCGATTTTGTAAATAATCGATGTTTTTTGCAGAAAAATCGATTCACAACACCGATGTATTTAAAAAACACCGATTCTCCCATAATTGATGTTTTCAAAAACATCGCCCATCCCTTGTTCACATTTGATACAGGGCGATTAAAAAATGGTTTATAAGCAGTTTCCAAAGTGGGGATGATGTTTCTCCTCTCTGACTTTGGGGTGAATTCAGCACAAACGTAACAAAAAGAATCTGGTGAGTTTTTACACTTTCGCAAGATACTTATAGAAATGATCGAAGACAATTTTAACATTCATCTCTGAAGTTGGACATGATATTCCCATGAACATTATACTGTTAATTAAAATAACAGAATAAATAGGTGAATAGAATCAGTAAAACCGAAATTCAGTGAGGAACTCAATCCATTAGCAACATAGTTCTTTGCTAGATGTAAAAAATGAAAGATAAAAAGGAAATAAAATAAATGAAATAGATTTGAAAAAGATTAGTAGTGCATTGGTAAAATGGATCAAGTCGGCGTCGCTCCTAGCTGAATTCTCAAGATATATGTCGATATCTAATAGAGATAGCGAAATTTCTGTAACGGCCTTGTTTGAAACGCAACTAAAATTCCAGAACATTCAGCTCGAGCACCATCGGGAACCTTCGGTTGAGCGATCAGACGATCGTAAAAACCCCCAAATTTAGTCTTACATCGCACCTCACCAAGTACAGTAGCATTTTAAACCTCACCTAGCTCACTAGTAGCCAAGTACATCACCAGGCATTGTAAGATCAACGTGCCGTTCAGTACATCACCACATTAATCAGTTAAAATTCAATTATTATCAGTGATTCAACTTGATTAATATTACAGACAAATAACAGTGAATTTAAGACTATATATAGGGACAATTTATATCAAAGTGTGTACATAATTCATTAACGACGTGGTTCGATCCCACGAATAAACGGCAGTTTTTTATAATCAGTGTCACAATTAATTTTCCAGCATCTCCCTCCATATTTGTCTACCACATCTACCCTAAGTATAGTAATTCTCCAAACAGACCTTTCTTGTAGCTCTCGTTTCACTCTATAGAGAAGGCCCTCATGAAAATCTCGCTATCTCCCTTGGATTCAAAGATATTA